AAAGTGTAATAACTGCAGTTTGCCTCCCTGTCATCGAGAATGACAAAGATCCTCAGTGAAGCACAAGCCCATGTTTCTCACTAAATTGTAAGTACAACTTATTAAAAAGATCAGTTCAATGCAACTAATGTCGTCTTAGTGTTATTGTATGATGTTAAAATTGGTTTGCCATGAATTTAGTGATGGATTGTAAAGATTTGAAATGTAGCATTTAAGTGCTTCTCAGTTAGAAGGTTGTTGTTTTAATAAATCAGACACTGATGGTGCCGCGCTGTACCTCTTTATATAGGCATTTTTTCCTTAACAAATAGTGTTTGCGCTGATCAGGGGGTACATGAGTGAAAAAGGTTTGAGAACCACTGCCCTAGGGTGTTAGGTCCACTCCCCACTTGTAAAAATAGCACTTTTGTCACGGTGTGTGAAGCAGGTAGGACCCAAATGCAGATAAAGTGAGAATTCCTTTATTTCAAGGCTAGGTGAACAACAAAGACAAAACCGAACACTCACCGACGAACTAGTCATGACAAAAGACGAACCGACAAAGACAGACAGAAAAACCAGAACTTAAATACACACAAGACTAATCACAGAAACAAGACACAGGTGAGGAGGGAGGAGAAAACACAGGGACACCAGGTGAACACATTCGGGTAAATTAGACACACCAGGGAAACTAACGACCGGGAACCACAGACAGATTTAAACAAGACACAACGCAGACAGAAACAGGCAAGACAGGAAGTGAAGACCTTTCAACATAAAACATGAAACAAGACAAGACAAAATACAATACAGGCAGATCGTGACAGTACCCCCCCCTCAAGGGACGGATTCCAGACGTCCCTAAAACACCAAAAAAAACAAACAATGTCCAGCAGGGTGGGTGGAGGGGGACCGGAGGAGGGACACAAAACTAGGGCCACAAGGGTGGGTGGAGGGGGTCCGGAGGACGGGTCTGGGCTGACAACCCAGGAGCACAGCAGAGGACCAGGAAGGTATCTCGGGCGGACGGCCCGGGGGCAAGGCAGAGTTCAAGGAGGGGTTCTCGGGCGGACGGCCCGGGGGCAAGGCAGAGTCTAAGGTGGGGGACTCGGGCGGCCGAGCATGAGGGCGAAGGCAGCGGCAGGAAGAGCCAGGGGGCCGGGATCGCGGGCGAAGACCACGGCTCACAGAGGGCCGGGATCGAGGGCGAAGACCGCGGCTCTCAGGGGGCCGGGCTCGAGGGCGAAGACCGCGGCTCACAGAGGGCCGGGATCGAGGGCGAAGACCGCGGCTCTCAGGGGCCCGGGCTCGAGGGCGAAGACCACAGAGCTCCGGAGGCCGGGCAGGAAGGCGCTGACGGGACAGTGCCGGAGGCCGGGCAGGACCCGGTGTCGGAGCTGGTGGGACAGGCCTCGGCAGGATCCCCCACGGAAGAGGACCAGGACACAGGATTTGCAGGACCCCCGGCAGGAGAGTAGACGGCGGGACCTCCAACGGGACAGACATATAATTGGTAGGACCCTCGGCAGAGGAGTAGTCGACGGGGCCTCCAACGGGACAGGACATGGAGTTGGCAGGACCCCCAGCGGAACCTCCAACGGACCAGGACATTGGGTAGGGACTTGAGACGTGACTCGAGAGGGGACTCGAGGAGACTCGAGAGGGGAACCAAGGGGGAACTCGAGACGTGACTCGAGAGGAGACTCGAGAGGGGAACCAAGGGGGAACTCGAGAGGGGACTTGAGAGGGGACTCGAGAGGGGACTCGAGAGGGGACTCGAGAGGGGAACTAGAGAGGGGACTAGAGGAGGAACTAGAGAAGGGAATTCGAGAGGGGACTCGCGAGGGGAACTAGAGAGGGGACTTGAGGAGGGACTAGAGAGGGGTCTAGATCAGGGACTAGAGCAGGGACTAAAGGAGGGACTAGAGGAGGGACTAGAGGAGGGACTCGAGGAGGGAACTGGAGAGGGAACTGGAGAGGGGACTTGGAGAGGGAACTGGAGAGGGGACTCGAGAGGGGACTCGAGAGGGGACTCGAGAGGGGACTCGAGAGGGGACTCGAGAGGGGACTCGAGAGGGGACTCTGGTAGGAACTTGAGAGGTGACTAGAGAGGGGACTCGAGAGGGGACCTGAGACGGAACAGGAGAGGGAACTGGAGAGGGAACTGGAGAGGGAACTGGAGAGGAGACTTGAGAGGGGACTCGAGAAGGGATTTGAGAGGAGACTGGAGAGGGGACCAGAGAGGGGACTCGAGAGGGGACCCGAGAGGGAACTCGAGAGGCGACCCGAGAGGGAACTCGAGAGGGGACCTGAGAGGGAACTCGAGAGGGGACTCGGGTAGGAACTGGAGAGGGGACTCCGTGGACCTCCATAAGCCAGACGAGTTCCGGAATACGACTCCTGGACAGGAGCAGGAACTGGGGCAGAAGCACGGGTTGACTTCAGGCGGAACCCACCAAGGCGTATGGTGCCAGGTTGGGAATTGGGAGACAGGGAGCTAGCATGCCTGGGGCTAGCAGGCCGGGAATCACATGCTTGAAGGAAGTCCAAAATCCAGTCAGGTAAGAACTCAATAAAACATGTTTTCTCCTCTTCTGCCGAACACTGGACGCTTCCTTCCACCAATCGAAGCAGCAAGCCAGATAGAAGGTTAAATGCTGTAATTCAACCTCCCATGGATCATCTGCTGGGTCCATTTTGTGGTCGGTTCGTTCTGTCACGGTGTGTGAAGCAGGTAGGACCCAAATGCAGATTAAAGTGAGAATTCCTTTATTTCAAGGCTAGGTGAACAACAAAGACAAAACAGAACACTCACCGACGAACTAGTCATGACAAAAGACGAACCGACAAAGACAGACAGAAAAACCAGAACTTAAATACACACAAGACTAATCACAGAAACAAGACACCAGGTGAACACAATCGGGTAAATTAGACACACCAGGGAAACTAACGACCGGGAACCACAGACAGATTTAAACAAGACACAACGCAGACAGAAACAGGCAAGACAGGAAGTGAAGACCTTTCAACATAAAACATGAAACAAGACAAGACAAAATACAATACAGGCAGATCGTGACAACTTTACCACTGCACCCTCTCTAATCTCAGATGCACCCTGAGTCATTTTGTTCTGGAACCGGGCCTGCTCCGCTGGCAAACTGCTCTCATGTCAAGAAGCATCAGATCAGTGCATGCACTGCATCGTCCAATCAGTGAGCGATACACAGTAAGGGGGCGGAGCGAGTGGCTGAGGATTTCACCGGAGGATGGTCTGGTGGTTCCTCGGTTATCGCTCCTTATCGCTCCTTATCGCTCCTTATCGCTCCTTATCGCTCCTCGCTCCTCGCTCCTCGCTCCTCGCTCCTCGCTCCTCGCTCCTCGCTCCTCGCTCCTCGCTCCTCGCTCCTCGATCCTCGCTCCTCGATCCTCGATCCTCGGTCCTCCGGCAGAAATAAGCGCCATGGGACGCTACTCAAGATGGCGCAGACAAATCAACTTCCGGTGATACAGAGGACCGAGAAGCGAGGAAATGAAAATAACCGACCTGAGACGCAGCCCGGGCCTCAATTAAACGCCTGCAGCTAGTCCAAAACGCAGCTGCACCATAGGCGGATTTTGAGGGGGGGCATTTTCCCCCCTAGTGGCTGAAATATGTTACAGCATTACTACGTCTAAAACTGTTCCAATACAAATATTTCGTATATCAATATTTTAATAGATGTAATAAAATGATTGTTACAATACAAATCTGAATAATATCATGTTTTGTTTGAAATCATTTCATTTTTGAGCAGTCGCATGTTGTGACGTGTGTGTGTGTGTGTGACGTGTGAGGTTAAGGACACATTTCCCTCGCTTTTTTTTGCATACAAGTGATTCAGCTATTGTATTACAAGAATTAGCAGTAATGGATATTCGGCGATTACCTAACCCGAAAGACTGTTAAAAAGGACAGCTATCCAAATCTATACAAGATGCTCGTTGGCACTGACTCTGCCACCTCTGCCACCTCTGAGAGAAGTTTTTCTGCAATGAGGAGAATTCGGAACTGGCTGCGGTCAAAGATGGGAGGAACAAGATTTTCCTCACTTGCGGTTCTTCACATTGAGGACGACATAATCACACAGCTGTCACCTGAGGGGATAGTGGAGTCGACACATATGCGGAACGTAAAAAAAGGCGTCTACTTCTGCACTAAGGTAGGACACTGGTTAATAATATTGTAGCGTGTTCAAGTAACCAAGGGATATAGTATAAAATAAGTATAAGATGTGCACAGTTATGATAAGTGTTACAGTTATGTAATGCACTGTTGTTGGGGGGAGAGACCGCCCCTTCCATATGAGCATGAGGCGTGCATGACGGGACGAGTTATGTTCGTATGTGGAAAAGTCATACAGTGCGGTGAATGCTGGCTTTATTGCTACTGTATCCGTAGCGCCCCACGCAATAGTTGGGACTGTGTACTGATGTCAGTAAAAAAGGTTTGCCCCCCCAAGCGCAAATGTCAAACTCCGCCTTTGAGCTGCACGTCTTCTGACTGGACACAAAAAGCGTGACCACATCACCCCAATTCTGGCCTCACTACACTGGCTTCCAATTCAGTTCCGAATTGATTTTAAAATCCTTTTATTTGTTTTCAAAGCCCTAAATGGGCTGGTTCCTGCCTATATAGCCAAACTCCTCCATCGCTACACCCCAGCCAGAGGTTTAAGGTTTGCTGACCAGCTGTTGCTGATAGTGCCCAAGACCAGGCTCAAAACCTGAGGTCACCGAGCCTTCGCAGCAGCTGGCCTCAGGCGCTGGAATAGTCTGCCCCTCCATGTGAGGTCGGCCCAGACACTAGGGTTTTTTAAATCCTCACTAAAGACTCACTTCTTCTCCCAGGCCTTCTAGTCAGAGCGGAGCATGACACCTGACTATTCCCTGTGTTTTTGTTTTTTATATTTCTGTTGTAAATTATTGTCTTTTATTGAGATAGTAATGTGTTTTTATTACATGTACAGCACTTTGGCTCAACCTGACTATTCCCTGTGTTTTTGTTTTTTATATTTCTGTTGTAAATTATTGTCTTTTATTGTGATAGTAATGTGTTTTTATTACAAGTACAGCACTTTGGCTCGACCAAAGTCTTGAACCAGCATGACCAGCATGACCAGCCTGGCCAGCTTGTCCAGCCTGGTAAACCAACTAAACCAGCCTAACACCAGCTAAAACCAGCCAAGCAACCCGGGAAACTGGCTATGGACGTTTGTTCACTTTCTTCTAGCTCTTATTATTATTTATAACATCTGTTTTTGTGTTTAATCCATAGAGCTGAGTATGAGCATTTCCCCTCCTGGATTGAGCCAGGAGGATCTATTACTCTGTCAAAGTAAGCCTGGTTTTTAACCTTCTTTAATGTTATATTGAACTGGTGTTTGAGCTGGCAACTATTATGTTGCGTTTGTTTTTTAAAAAGAATACTGTCCTCTAGTGCTTTTTTAGTTTTATTTTCTGTCAATAGTTTTCTTGTGTGCAGATTATGGGCATTATAATTGACTAAGTGTTTGTGTTACAGGCTCCTCTCCCTCTGGGGGAACCTTGTCTGCTTTCAGTGTAGGGACTGCATGGTGTGACACTTTAAAAGGGTGAGTAAACTAACTCACTGTAATAATTTTGTAGAAGTTGTGCTTTGAGTAGTGCGTGCTTTTGTTCTCTTTTTGTCCCTCACAGTTAGCAGGCATTGTGACCTAGTGGACCAGACCTGCCCATCTGAGGAGGGAAAACCCACCATGTAATAGTGTAAAGTATGTTTACCCGTTGACTGCTGCTGAACATTGACATTTTAACATGTATATTTGTGAAATAAAGCTGCATTCTATTTGGTAATTCATGCCTCTGTTATTGTCCTTGTGAAGGGAAGCCCCACAATCTGCAAAACAACTTTGGATTTAGATTGAGGGTCCACAGGTTCCTCCATCCCCTCAGCAGGAGTTGGTGTTGTCAGCTATTTAAAGGGGACCCCAGCCACAGTACCGCATCAGAGACAGGGTGTGTTCACTGTTGGCCTAATATATTATTGGTCAACTGAACTTGGCTAACGCTAAACACAACCACACCTTAACATAAGCAAAAACAGTCTACCTGCTCACCTGGTGATGGCCCACTATATGGGTAATAGTCAAATGACTTCCACAAGGCCTTTCTATGACACTGAATAGGAACAGACCACAGCTCTGATTTAGGAGATCTTGCTGACCAACTATTGCTGAGTTGATTTAACAGAAAGCCTCTTTAAAATGAGATTATGTTTCTCAGAAGAAAGAGAAATTGTGCCTCATGTTTAAAAAAAAATCTAAAGTCTGCAAGCCAGACTGACTCTTTTCACTTTTTTAAGGTTACACCAGCAAACCCTTGTACCCAGATGCTAAATTACCACTTAGCTACATTTTAAACATTAAATACTTTTCTATAACTTAGAGGCTGCACTGTCTGCTGTTCAGCAAAAGTTAAGGAGACTGGCTTTAAAGGTGAAATGTGCTGTCAAAGTGTGTGAATAATGCATTGTTTCCTTGTCAATAAAGTGAACCATTATGTTGCATATATCACAAACACAAAAAGGACTTTCATACACACAGTAAGTGTACATCTGTGTCTTTATTGGGGCCAAAGGGATGTTAACAGAGTAACAGGTGAACAGTGACCTGGTTCAATAAGATGTATGTAATATCTCAGTTGATAAACACAAGTTATGCCAGATGCACAAACTGAGGGATAAGAATAATAATGGAAATCATTCCATGTGTGATCAAAACCGTAGTTGGTGTGGACAGTCTTCTTTTCCATCATTGTTGGGCTCTCCTGAACTCTAAGAGACAAAGATAATGAACCCTAAATTGCTCCTGATTGCATGGCGATCAGTGTGAGTGTGAATCTTGTTCTCCATTAGCAGGTGCATGCACTATATGAATGTGTGTATCATGCTGTTCAGCTTGACTTATGTCAAAGACATTTGAGGGGTCACGAGAGTGGAAAAGTGCTATATAAATGCTGCCAATTTACCATATACACTATTTCTATCTCCTTCCCTCCTTCCTTTCCATGACCTTTGAACTGAAGCTGATACTCTAGTTTTGGGTTATTTCGGGAGTTTAAACTTGTAATACTGTTGTCCAGGGTGTGGTCCGTTTGCATTAGTCAACAATGCACAGAAGGATTGTGGGCACTTTTGTTTCACTCGGTTATTTTCCAGTACCTCTTCAATCAAATAACACACAAAGGAAAAACCCAAGAAGTTTGACTTTTTTTAAAAAATGATGATCAATTTGAATACTTTTGATTGTTTTTGCTTCCCAACAAAAACCAATAATCATTCATTTTATATGAATTGCATTGACATCTAAGACGCAGGTGATGATACACATGTCTGTTACCATGCTGCCAGTTTTTGAGTTTCACGCCATGCCTGCCTGAATATACTCTATGCAAGCACTACGGTATATTGAATCGTGCTATATATATATTATACTCTGTAATCTTAACTATATCTGATAGCTCAAGCCCTCCTTTTGTTAGTCTTCCTTTAAAACAACAGAGAGAATGAATGTCTTGTTTATCAGAAAATAGTACTGTTGAGTACATTTTAGGTTTGTACGTTTACGTCCATGTGAAAGATAAACATGATAAGTAGAGTCCCTGTCCATTAAACACCTGTTATTCCCAAAACCAGAAAAAGAGTGATGGTACTTTTCCCAATAAATCATGTCGCTAAGACTAGGCTCATCACTTTGAAGCATTCCTAAATCAAATCTGTGCAAAAGTTAATGTTTATTGAACAAAATAACACAAACAATAATCAAAGCAGGACTATACGGTCAACAGAAAATCAATCAATCAATCAATCAATGTTTATTTATATAGCCCAATATCACAAATGTTACATTTGTCTCAGTGGACTTTACAGTTTGTACAAAATATCAGTATGACAATACGACACCCTCTGTCCTTAGACCCTCACATCGTACAAGGAAAAACTTCCGGAGAAAACCCACAGTTTAAAGGGAAAAATGGGAGAAACCTCAGGGAGAGCAACAGAGGAGGGATCCCTCTCCCAGGACGGACAGACGTGCAATAGATGCCGTGTGTAAATTGAAAAGACAATACATTTGCAACATAGGTAGTCCAAATGTTTGGAAATGCATGTGTGTATAATAGGAAGATGAATCCACGAGGATATCCATCCAGGACCTATGATCCAGGACCACAGCCACGACTCAAGATCCAGGGCTCGCGATCCAGGACAGAGGAGCGCAGGATCATCCATGACTCCGGATCCCGGCGTATATAGACACCAAAAAGAAAGACATTTGGGGAAGCTGGGTTAATCGGAACATGAGAGTACACAGGTATAGACAGAGAGAAGGAAGAAGTAAGATGTCCCCCGACAAACTAAGCCTATATCAGCAAAACTAGGGGCTGGATCTAATCAGCCCTAACTATAAGCTTTATCAAAAAGGAAGGTCTTAAGCGCACTCTTAAAAACGGATAGGGTGTCTGCCGCCCGAACACAAACTGGAAGCTGATTCCACAAATGTGGAGCTTGATAAGAAAAGGCTCTGGCTCCCATTGTACTTTTAGAGACTCTAGGAACAACCAACAACCCTGCATTCTTGGAACGCAATGCCCTAGTAGGACAGTAGGGTATAATGAGTTCTTTAAGGTAAGATGGCGCCTGCCCATTAAGGGCTTTGTAGGCGAGAAGAAGAATTTTAAATTCTATCCTGTGTTCTATAGGGAGCCAGTGTAAGGCAGCCAGAACAGGAGTAATGTGGTCCCTTTTCCTAACTCTGGTTAGTACACGAGCCGCAGCATTTTGAATCAGCTGAAGCGACTTGACTGACTTCTTGGTACACCCTGATAATAAAGAGTTACAATAATCCAGCCTTGAAGTAACAAATGCATGGACTAGTTTCTCTGCATCGTTTTGAGGCAGGATATGCCTGATTTTTGCAATGTTACGTAGATGGAAGTAGGCGGTCCTTGAAATTGATTTTATGTGGGCGTTAAAGGATAAATCCTGATCAAATATAACACCAAGATTCCTTACAGTCTCACTGGAGGCCAAATTAATGCCATCCATAGTTAGTATATCCTTAGATAATTTGTTTCGTAGATTCTTCGGGCCAAGTACAATAACTTCAGTTTTGGTCGTGTTTAACATCAAAAAGTTTAAGGTCATCCACGTTTTTAAGTCCTTAAGGCAGTCTTGAATTGTATTTAGATGATTAATTTCATCAGGCTTGATTGATAAATATAGTTGAGTATCATCCGCATAACAATGAAAGTTTACAGAATGATTCCTTATAATATTGCCTAACGGAAGCATATATAATGTGAACAAAATAGGTCCGAGCACTGAGCCCTGTGGCACTCCATGGCTAACTTTGGTTTGCGTGGAAGATTCATCATTGACACGTACAAACTGAGAGCGTTCAGATAGATAGGACCTAAACCAGTCTAAAGCAGTTCCCTGTATGCCAACTAAGTGCTCTAGTCTTTGCAATAAGATATCATGGTCGATAGTATCAAATGCAGCACTGAGATCGAGCAAAACAAGAATAGAGACACGTCCCTTGTCAGAGGCTATTAGAATGTCATTTGTGCAAAGAGCAAGTTCAGCCCGTTGGTCATCCATACACCAGGTGCCGTAAATACCTGACCACATCCATGTGATCATTGAATGATATACAACTGTGTGTGGTTAAAACAAATAAGTATAATACCAGGAATAATGAGCAACGGCTAAAATCTGTGGATCAAAATGTTATAATAATGCATCATCAATATTATTTACTAAATGTATTTATGATATTTAAAAAAAGGTGTAGAAATAATTCCTTTGATTAACCCCTGGAGCGACCAGTGTGAATATGGAACATTCATGAAAATAAAGGTTAGACAAAAGGACTTCTGTTCACACACATATACAAGTTTACATCTGTGTCTTTATTGTTATCATGTTAACAAAACAGGTGATCACGTAACATCTCAGCTGCTAAGGACAAGTTGTGCGAGATGCACAAACTGAGGGAAAAGTTGCTGAACAACGCACATCATTCCACTTCCCTCGAAAGTTGTTGACTACACAGTCTTCACCGCTGTTGTTTGGTTGTCTATACCAATTGAAATACGTGGCTACAGACCCATCAGACCACATCCATCTTCCTTCTTTGGCGATGTCATGGAGTCCGATCCATGTTGCTCCCGCAGCAGGGTCAGAGATTTCGACCATCAATTTCACAAAATTCTCTTCCTCTGCACTGTGGATAGACACCAGGTTGCCTCCCTGGGACACACAGTAGAGCTCTGCATCAGCCCAGCTCCTCTCCGTGTTGGAGTACTTGTAGCAGCGGCTGTTGAAGGAGTACCAGAAGGAGGGACAGGGGTCTTGCTGTTGGTCCATTTGAGGGTCATCTGAAGAAGACACAGCACCCAGAGCCAGGCCCAACAGGAAGAGGAAAACCAGCATGATGATGATGTCACCGTTTCTGTCTGTTAAAGTTGCACTGAACCGTTGGAGAGGATGGAGATTGTGAAGCTTCAAGTGACAGGCTGCTTCTTATATATGTGTGGGAATGTGATGTCATTGTCACGTGACGTGATCACATGACCGGTGACCGGTAAAATGTAAGTTATAAAAGTTTTTCTGGCAGTTTCAGAAAACCTTTCTCTTGGCTGCACGCTCACCATTATCTCCCTCAAGGTAGGACTCTTAGGTTTAAGGTGGTTTTATGGTCTTTTCAATGAACCTATGGAAGGGTCTCAGATCAGTTTGGATTTCATTAGGGCGAGGGCAAGATACGCTTAGACCAACTTAGCTGGTCAACCAG